CACTTCAAAGGTCGCCTCTCTGGACTCATTAGCTCGGTTGAGAATTTTGCTGGTGATGATGGTGTGAGCAAATCGCGATGTGACCTTGCAGTCCACGTGAAGGCTGTAGATTTCAATAGCATGCTGGAAAAAAAATAAACAGGCTGAAACAGAAACACTCAGTGTTTGCTCTTGAGCAGTCCTTACCTGGGTGATGTTATCAGAAAGGTTCTATGAGCAACGAACTGTTAGAGGATCTGGATGGGATCAGGGAGGGCTTTGTGACCACACGCTCTGCACAGAGCAACCACCTGCGTGTGCCTTATTCACATCTCTGCAGCCACGGCCACAGCCCCACGCAAAATCTGCAGCTACATCTGCGTGTTGTCATTCCACAGAAGGCTTCTGTTGAGCCTTTTCCTGTGGTCTTCTCTCCTCGGGTTATTCTGAAGCAGCTGCTGTGTCACCCCAATACATCGCCTAAGATTAACCTCAGAAAAATCAAGATGCCTCTTTAAGCGCTCGACCATGGAAAGAGACCTGCTAGCTTTTTGCGCGACTATTTATTTGCTCTCCTGGGTGTTGGCTTTGCTGCATGTTTTTCAGTTCGGTGCCTTGTGTCACATAGGATGTTTAGCAGGTTTGAAACCCCCTGTGGGCTTCCAACCCCTTGCTGGTTGCACACGCAGTGATGCCCTTTGGGCGCTTGTGTTTCTCCTCGCCTGGTGCTTCCAGGGCCCCCAGCGCTCGAGGGAGGAAGGCACCGTCCTGGCGCTGCCCGGGAACACCCCACAGGGTGGCCGGACTGGGAATTGCCTGGAGCACCTGCCTCTGTAAACACCCTCCCTTTTGCATTTGGGATGTCTGTTTTAAAGGCCCTACCTGCGTTTCAGCAGTGACACTAAGAAGGGTTGATCTGGACATCACCAGCCTTACAATAGTCCAATAGTTTATTAAAATAAAAAAAGCTCAGCATCAAAGCAGATCATCGCACTTCTATTTTTACTTTTCCAGCCTCACAAATCTTTTGCATGGCTAATTGATCTTTACAGGAGATGAATTATCAAAATAACTACTTTGCTCACCAATTAATAGCATCCACTGGCCTCTTCTTAGTTAGGGCACTGGCCAAAATTTAAAAGTTTAACCAAGCTAAACATGGCCGTTCAATACAGAGCTGCGACCACGGCTTTGTTTTCTTTTTTCATTATACGTTGCCAGAGCGTGCTCCATCTCCTGATGCCTACTGACAATCTAGGACAGTGGGATAAAACCCAAAAATATTCATCGAGAGAACAATTCCCTGATCCTGGCAGACTGGGTGCCTCTCCCTGCCCACGCCTCCCTGCTGCCCACCCCCAGCTGGAGCCCTCCCTGCCCAGGCTGGGGTGCTCTCTCCCCGGAGTGTCTCTTTCCAAAGCCTTTCCAAATATCCCTGAGCACCTCTGCTCACGTTTGCTGCCCTGCCATGCTCAAACCTGCCCACGGCATGTTCAGAGGGGAGGTTTTGCCATGACTGAGAAGCCCCAAGCCCTGAGTTGTGGCTCATTGGGGCAGCACAGGCACGTGGTGGCCATCGCTGCCCATGGAGCATCCTTCTGGCACAGGAGGGGCTTGCCCCGTGCAAAACTTACCTTGTGCAAAATCCACCCCACCACTACGTGCCGAAGGGATGCTGTGGGGATGAGTGGACGGGGACCTGCATCCCCTGCACTTGCCCAGCCCCAGCAGCATTTCAGGCTGATGAGCACAAACGAGCATGGAGCAGGGTGCAGCGCGGTAAGGGGCATCGCTGTGCCCTTAGTGAAGGGGGCAGGAGAGGAACAGCCCCGAAAGCAGTGGGGAGCGGCCACAAGGCACCGCGGGCCCATACACCACATCCATGGCTTCTTGCAGAGCCCTCGGCCGCCCCTGCAGCAGCCACAAGGCCTGTCCCTGCCTCCCAGAAACCCGCCTGCATTTTGGTTGCATTTCACGCTTTTCTGAATAGGCACGATGGAAATAAAAGCCTTCCAACATAAGGCTTCCTCCGTTTCTCCAATATTGATATTTTTAAAATAAGGCCAGTTGCATGCACCCTGAGGTGATACAGGATACAAAACACAGTTTGCTCCTCCAGACGGTACAAATAACTGTCTGCTCCCCTCTTTTCTGTTCCATATAAGTTGTTAAACACCTGTCAGAAACCTCCCGGCACTGCAACGGTCTTCGTTTGGTCCTGCTGTAACAGCACTGTGTTACAGCACTGATCCAAACCTGATCCGGTGGCTGAGGGAGACCCACTGATCCCTCAAATTCGATATTTTACATCCCTGGGGAAGAGCATGGTCAGACACATCTGTAAATGCTCTCCTCCCACATTTATGCTATAACAGCCCAAACAAACAACCAAAAAGGCCTTAAAAGGACCCAAAGCTCTGAAATCATGACACAATACACCCGAGGCTCCACAGGTGGTGGTTACCAGAGGAGTTACCTGCATTACCTGGCCAGCTACCGCCATACCACCGGATCACCAAATGAGCAAACAAGATATTGTTAACAAAAAAAAATAGAGCAAATACCTTTTGAGCAATAGTTTCTGCTAAAACTACGAGTGAGGAAAAGACCATCAATGTGAGCAACATTCTCTCTTCCATTTTGGAAATACCAGATTTTCAAATGAAAACTCGGTTTATCTTAATCAGTTAATGAGTAACTTGTACTTGGGGATATTATGTAGACTTTGAAGAGACCCAGAAACTTAATATTTACATGTTAAACACAGGTAAAACTTGGACTTGGTTAACGTTTATTCTTCCAACGGATCTTTGCTGTTAAACATTAGAATTTTAATGTTTCATAACGCATAAGATTAAGAAATCCTCATGTTTTCTTTTTAAACTTAGATCTCGCTGTTGCACGTGAAATCCCACAGGCAGATGAACTGGTCTGTGCAACAAGCTGCATTTGTGGATGCGTGAATCTCTACCATATCCAACAGCAGTTATTTGGAAAGGCACATCCTTAACGTTATCTCAAGCACTTCATAGATTTGAAGATTGCCAAGACATGCAACATTCACGTGAGATTTTACAGCTGGTGACTTCTTCAAAGTTTGTGCCTCCCTGCCCAACTGGACCATGAGAGGTACGGAGTGGCCCTCTTGAAACATCCCTTTTTGCTTCCTCTGACAAGCCATAATCCTTGTTTGTCAAATAGCAAAGTCAGTTGTGGCTCGTCTTCAGCTAAAGAGTAAAAACAAAGTAATCAGACCTTGCCTGGACTCCCTAGGGAGAGAGGCGCTGAGTCAGTGCCTGTACGTACACGTATGTAAGTGTACAAAGAAGACAAACCACCCAAAACCGAGCGCAACAACAGCCGTGCACGGGAGCACATCTGGCCCTGTCCGGCCCTAACACAGCTGTGATGTATCCAGCTGGGGATTCTGCAAAGTTGCCTTTAACGTGTGCAGTCAGCGGGGCTGTTTGCACAAAAGATTAGTGCTGGGAGAGCTCTGCGCCTGCATTTATCTGGAAACTGAGCGGGATGACTCTTTTCACCTCCTATTTTATAATAAAATCTTCATCCAACGGGGTCTTCGACCAGTTCCTGTGAAGTTTTTATTGGTCAAGGGTTGGCCTGTAGCCCTGGAAAAAATAAGTTATCTTAAAAGTCCAATTTTATACACAAATAATTATAGACAGTGTTATGCTAACATAATTCCTCAAATACATGCTCACTCATGTGGTGTTTAGGTAGTCTCCTAGCGCAAGACAGCTCGCCTGACTATTTAAAAGATATTTCTCCATCCGAGTAGCTGCAATGTTTGCCTCTTCTACAAAGCATTTTAAACACATTGTGGGGAAATAATTTGGTTTTTTAGGCAGTGGAGTAAACACACCATGGGCAGAACCCATTTCAAAAGTTCATCTCCTCAGCTCTACAGGTGGGGAAATCAAGGTGAGAAATGGGGTTCAGGGAGCAAACTGTCACGAGCCATTCCTACGCCACATGTCCAGGGCTTGCTTGTTTTATTGGAAAGCTTTCAGCAGGCTTCATTTGTTCATTCATTCCCCGTGCCAGGAAATAAAATGTTTGAAATCTTGACAATAGAAACAGGCCAGGAAAAATAACGTCCCCCGGGGCTGTAGTTCAGAGGATCTCTTAGGCATATGCAGCTGCTGGATCAGCCCCCGGTTCCTGCACGTATTTATACGAACACACATATACAGTTAACGTGCAACCAGCCAGCGCTGTGGAGAGACGCAATCCAGACAGACGCCCTCTTCCCTCAGCCCTGAGCAGATGAAGGCTGAATCCCGCCCTCCCACCATGATCTCCCTGCCCGTCGCCCTGCGCGGGCAGCTCCAGGGTAGCAGACAGCCCTTTCTCAACTAAACCTCCAGTCTGTCCACACACACACACGCTTTTTTGTGTTGCTTTTTGACAGCGTTTTTCCCCTTATAACTCCATGGTAGGTGATGCCATTAATTGTCCTAAATTAACACAAAGATCCTGTGGAAATACATGCATCTGTGTGTGCTTCATTGCTATTTTAAAGGCAAAGCGTCCAGGTGGAGAACACGCCTCCAGTGGCCTTGGATTTGCGAGGAGACGCTAATGCAGGGCTCAGTAATTTATTACTTTGACAGACATTTACAAGTTCACCATAAAGAGTCTGTTGAGCACAGCCTGGTCTTACAAGGCTTGTGCTTTAAGTAACTTTTTTAAAAAATAAACTTCACTTCTTCGAGACAGACTCTTTATGCTACTTGCAAATACTGTATTGTTTATAGCAGGACATGTAAACACGTATATTTTAACAGAGAAAAATTAAAACTGCTATACATTTTATTAACTTCTACAACTCGTGTAATGCTTTAATCCTCAAAATACACAGGATTATACCACTTGGTGGCCTAAGATCCCCAAAAGCCAAAGCTTTAGCTCTAATTAAGCGGATCTGTCACCGGTTTTCTAATACCCACATGTAAAAATCACACGGACGTTAAAGAGCTGCTTTAACTGCACAGATTTAGGCTGCATGGCCGGCTCTGCCCTGCTCCCGGGTGCACGGAGCCGGCCAGCACCCAGGGAAGCTGTGGAATCCCTCCCGCATCCCTTTGTGGCTCGCTGGAGCAGCTACAGGAAGATCTCGTGCTCAGGCTCGTCCCCAGGCTCGAGCACCTTGCCCTGCTTCTGTACAAGCCGCCGCCAGCCGTCCCCGCTGGTGTCCAGCGCCCGTTGCTGCTGGTGCACTGGGCACTGGTCCGGCAGCACCCAGTGCTTCTTACTCCAAGGAACGAACGTGCTGTGAAACGACTTCAGATCACCCTGGAGGAAGGGCCTAAATCCACCATCACAACAGGAGACACTTTTGAGTGCAAAATGACCTAAAAACCTCAAACCCCGGGGCTTTGTTCAGACACTTCTCTGTCACTAGTTCTCATTATGAAAATGAGGGAAAAAAGGAAGAAAACACATTTTCCACGCATGGACTTATTAGATTCACAAGGATGAAGAAAAAGATGACAAAAAATTCTCCAGGCAGCTTTACATTTGTTCCTCTCGCCTACAAGTTTCTCCTGTCCTGCAGCAGCCGGCGGTAACTTCTCCAGCACAGCAGCAAGGCTGGGGACAGGGGAGGATTCCTGCAATTCATACAGGAGAGCAGAGACCTTGCTGTCACAAATGGGGAGCGACTTTGTCCCAGGGATACACTTTTACCTCCAATGGGTATTTTTTTAGACGAGGTCCATCTTAAAAGAGAGAAAAGGAAAAAAAGATCCCTGGTGTTGAGCACTTACTGTCACACTGGGAAGCATCACAAATAATTGAACCCGAGGACAGCCTGGAAATAAAGCTGTTAGCAAAATCCCAAGTTTCTGGTAGATAACTTAGTTTCCCTGCCGCATCCGTGCTGCAAGTCTGTGGGACACAGAGGTTTTGGTGCTTTGCTAAATCAGCACCAGCATACCCGAAGCCGGGTCTGAAATACAGCACCCCCCTCTCCTGCTACCCAGGCTAGCAAATTCACGATATTCAGTCACTTGCACCGTACAAAAGAAAGCAGTAACACCATTTTGCCCCACGTGTCCCTCTCCATTTTTCTAATTAATAAACAACCTCCTGCCAACTTCTCATCACACATTAAGGGGGGTTTGTTAAACCTGTTGCAGGGACGGCTCCAGTGTTACCAGGGTGGGAACTTTTTTCCACTGTGTTTTGTTCTTACCTTCGAAGCTCTGGAAGGAGTCCTTCTCAGAGGAAAAGTCTGCGCAGAGTTACCTGTGAGGAGCCCGGGCCCCATGGAGAAACGGCGTCCGGCAGAGAGAGGAGACAGTGTCTTGGCTGCAAATAACAGTCTCCGAAAGTGAAAAAAATGGGGCAGGGCCACACACCAGCGATATCTTTACTTTTTTAAGGAAACCTCCCCCTTAAACTCAAAGGATTTGCTGCTGTCTTACACACGCCCCGCTCCGCAGCCTCTCTGGGAGCATCATGGATGTCGGCACGTTTTATCCATTAAGTGTTCGGGACACAAAAGACAAAGATGATATCCTTCACAGTGCACAGAGACCTTCGATACCACTTTCACCTCTTAATCAGGTCTAGCCTATGCAAAATTAAAGTAATTCTTTAAATAAAGGTGGCACCTACCTTTCCGTCCCCGGACATGCTGCCAGGGACTCGGGGTCTGTGAAAAGCATGGCAGGTGCCAACAAAGCAGAGGATTAGCTGTGTTTCAGCGCAAAGATCCAACTGAGGGGAAATACTCCAGTTTATGCCTTGGGGGAAAACAGGTTTGATGTTTAATGCAGCAAATCAAGATGCAAACAGAGTTGCAACAAACCAGCCTCCACTCAGAGTGGGTTTGCTGTTGCACAGAGACGCTCAGCAGGTCGTTCGGCTCCTCAGTCAGGCGGGACATGGCACCTGTGCTGCTGGCCTGTCACCCCACTTCTCACTTGATCCAACGGGACATGAGGAAAAAGCCACTGGGGAACAGGCTGGAAGCCCTCCCTCGGCGCGGGGGCACACCGACAGCTCGGCATCTTGCCTCCCGGCAGAGCCGCTCGTGGGGAAACCATAATGCCTCACATTATGGCATTATGGCACAACCCTGGGGGCTGTGAGGGAGTTGTGGGGGGACATATGAGGGAAAGGCCATGAGGGGGGGCCGCCACCCGTGGCACACACCAGCCCTGAGGGGCCTCGCTGCGGCACCGCTGCAGTCAGCACAGATTTGGGTGAAGTCTCCAGGTTTCTGTGACGCCCCTTTGACCAGCTCCTCCTCAGCTCCCTCCTGGCGAGGGCACAGCGTGAAGAAATTGCACTGATGCTAAAACTGTGTCATGTGGATGTTTATTCTTTGCGTTTGACAGACTAGATCACAGCTTGTAACGCTGAAGTGTCCACAGAATTAATCTAAGCCTAAACTGAAATTAGTCACCACGGTGTGCCAAGCTGTGTCCAACAACCTTTTTTTATTAAACCGTTATAGCAAACACCATTCAACATATAGAAAGCAAGCACATAATAAAAATCAACATGGAAGTTATACCCTTTGACATGAGTCTATTCTGTACTTAATGACTTACAGTAGAAATTAGCTACTTAGGTCTACAGTGACGCTAGTGTAAGGGGCAGAGATTTG